TTAGAAGAATATTCTTTATTAATTCATATCAAATATAAATGTGATATACCTCACTAAAATAATTATCTGACATATCCTGTGATCCATTTAATCTTTTCAAAGCAACCTTCATAGGTTTAGGATCAAACTTTTTCCAACTTCCGTCATCTTGCTTATAAAAGTTCGATTCACCATCGATCCATGTTGCAGAATACACTTTGGAAAATCCTCCTTCACTAATTTCTTTTATACCTGTGAATCTATAAAAAGGCACCCATTCAAGAAATCTTGGACGACATTCTTTATTTCTTGCTTCATATATCGTTCCTTTCATGAATTTATCAATATCGGAATTTCCACTAGTCCATCCTTCAATCATACACCAAGGATCACATTCTTTACACCATAATTTCTTGGCAAATGGATTACCGCAATAAGAACATTTCGTATCTGAGACTTTTAATTTATCGATTTCATGGCTATTTACATCCATTTTTTTTTTTTTTTTATAAAAAAAAATTGCTAAGGATATAAAAGGAATTATCACGACCAAAATTAGATCAACGGAAAATATTCTCCGAACATTGCAGTGGTACGGTACAAATTAGACGAACACAGCGTCCCGTAAAAAATGGTAGCCGGATTTTATCTGACGGATATTTACTATTGGGGTTAGTATTATAGATAGTTTTGATTAGGATTAGGATTAGGGTAGAATTAGGATTAGTTTGGGGGGGTTAGCTAATTGTCACTATTATATGTCACCCCTAATAAGTATATGTGACCCGGCAAATAAATACGGCTACCATTTTACTGGCGATTGTACAAATCATATATGATAACGTGATCAGATACTGCGGTAATTATATTTGTGAACCAGCATTTTAATACATTTTATATATTTTATGTCTTAACCATAATAAACATCCTTAGTTTTCAGTCAAAAGTATAGATAAAATCAAACTGAGATTTTCTAATTAATTTATTGTCAAATTACTTTCGTTCCTTAATTAATAAACTAAGCTCTAATCGTTTTCATCGTTTGACCAAAAAAAAATATTATTTAATACAAGTCATAGTACATTTGCATAAATGATAATGAAGATAATAAAGCTGTCACTAAAATTTTTGTAAGGCCACGGACTTTAGCATTTTCGGTTCACGTCACCTTTTAAATTTTAACCGAAAAAAGTTTATATGTAAAAAATTTTATCACGTGACTTCGAAATACAATACTTCTTGTATTCAATTCTTTCGTTTATGTATTTATAAATAATTCTATTGTAAGCAAAGGTTTTTAAGCAATTGTATAATTATGATGTAAATGTTATTCAATAGAACAGTGTTTCCTCGCTTATTAACTCAAATAAATACTAGGTTTGCTATTAAAATCGTATTACGAACACAGTAAATCATATGTTTCATTGCAAACCACCCGACGAATCTGAATTTAAGTGAAGTAGTTAATTATTCATTAATCGTATCACTTTAAATGGTAATGTTGTAAGAATTTTTTCTCAACAAAATCTTATTAAAACAAAAGTATGCAACAAAATGAAACTTAAAACTCTATATTCATATTTTATGATTGTTATGAATGGGCTAGAACTTATAGATTTTAATTTTGAAAAGGCATTTGATATTTGGCAAAGATTTTTAAGAAGTATTAGTAAATAATTGTAAACTTTAATTTGAATACAATAAAATTTATAAGTATTTATTCTTATTTTTATTTTTAAATTTTATTAATCCGCAAGTAAATTATAATTAGCGCTGTTAGTGATAATCCATTTGCGCAACTAAATGACTGTGCCAACTAACGTCACCAATGATCACCAGGAAAATCGT